AGAATTCTAAAAAAAATATCAAACAGGAGCGATAGCCACAACAACAAAGCATGCAATGACGACGCATGCGCACTGTTTACTATTTTTCTTAAACACAGTTGAAAAGTGTGATGACGCCCAAATAAGGTGCGCGAGCCATCAAATCCAAAACAACACCCATTTTACCAATGGACAATAATATAATTGATTTATTATACTTAAATAACTAATTCCTTCATTTTCAAAAAGACGTTTGAAAAAAAAACGAACTCTACAGTAAGTTTGCTAGTTAAAAGTTATTGGCTCCAAAACGAAAAAAGACTATGCGGCACCAGACACCTGTGCCAAAATTAAAATCTAGTCGTCTGGTTAAATGAAAGTCTGTTTTAAATCTGTATCAAATGCATCAAAGTAGCAAATGTGCTTAAGGTAATCAGTAAGATTTTGGAGTGGAGTTCCTCCGTTTAAAGTAGATAAATGAGGAAAATCACAATTAAATTAATGACATCTCTTAGTATCTAAGTTTTTAAATTAGAAAACAGTCAAGAAGTGTGTAATGTATAATGTATTAGTATAATGGTTAAAGGTTCTCCGCAACTGGAGTAAACAAGCACTTTTTTCCAATCAGCAAAGCTTTTGCAGCAATTAGGCATATTTTTTTAACTTTTATGTTTTTAAATTTCTTTTCTTTCATTAATTTAAGTTATCTTGAAAGTTAAAGAAAGATTTGGAACTATATTTAATAGAAATAATATTGCTTAAAAACCTATGCTTATTATAACATTTTATCACCTGTTAGCTTTTCCGAATAAATATGCAAAAATAATTTTCCAATAATTAATAATTTCACGATGATTCTTATAATATAATAAGAATTTTACTTTTAGTGTTTTGTTTTATAGAATATTACTTTTGTTACCCAAATGACAAATAACTAAATAATAACCCAAATAAAAATAATGCAAAATAATCCAACATAAAAATAGTACTAAATAATAATATTAAATAACCCATATAAATATAGATTAACAATTTTATTATGCACAAATAAAAGAAAGATTGAAAGTTTAACTAAAAAATATTGAAGAGAAAAAATCCCAATTCGTTAAATTTACACGTAAAAACAGTTTTTTTCTGTCTAAACAATATACAAAAAATTTTGTATTCTGTGAGATTATGAAAAAAAATTAAAATAAAACTTATAAGCAGTTTTTTCATCGATTGCTGATTTTAATGAAAAAAAATTGGAATGACTCCATAAATCAGAATAAAAAATGGAAGAACTTTAGTTTAAATGGTGTAAAACCTAGATTCTGTTATATTGTACGAAATAAAGTGATCGCTTTGCTAAATAAGTTGATTAGGGAGAGTTATAAGTTGATTAAAATCGGAGTAGGAAAAAATGATGAAAAGTAGAGTTAAACTCATCATAATGCTTCTTATCCTATCGTCAGCAGTATTTCTACTAAATTTATCACTTAGAATGGAAAATATTCGAAGAAAATTCTGAATAAATTTGTCGATGGGTGTTGTCTTACATCTGATGTAAGAAGAAAGGAAAAATGAAGGGATTACAGGTGCAATTTGGGGTTGCGGGGTCCGTTTTTAACTCAATAATTGATTGATTGACTGATTAAATGTAGAGTTATTGATTCATTGATTGAATGTAGAGCACGAGATCCAAATGAGGATATGCTGCGCCAAACAATACGTTAACGCAGCGTAAAATGTAAAATGCATACTACAATTTTATTTTTTTAAAAATACATAAAGGTAGTAAAACAATAGCGAGACGAATATTCAATAAATTTCTATATAAAGCGTAGTTATATAAAGTACATGAAAAAAGGTAAAACGGTACATTGATAATAAATAAGAGTGAACAAAATCAGCTAAAATGAGCTATATACAGTATAAAAATACCAATAGCTCGCAAAAATGCGAAAATGTTAGGATGATGGATTTTACCTAACAAATCCTTCATACATACAATAGTGCTATTAAAAAAGGTAAGACGATGTTGGTCAAAACAGGGACAAATAGTTAAAATGTGATGAAGCTTAAGTAAAACGTTACAAGTGTCGCATTTGGGAGGAGATTCTCCGAACAACAGATGAAGATACGTGAGTCGAGGGTGACCGATTCTGAGATAAGTAAGCTTTACATCTGTATTTTAACTCAATAATATAAACCCTCTATTGAACGTTAGATGAGTAAAAATAAATATAACGAAAAATCAATAATTCACTAATCTACTGTTAGCTACTTTAATCGACAGTAAGTTACTTTAATTAAAAAATGAGAGTAAAATTAAATGCAATTATAAAAATGTATTGATTTATCTCATAAAATGAATTCTATCATATACCAGCAAACTCCGGTGACCAGTTGGTCTACCTTTTTAAATAAGTAGAATTTCAAATATGTCAAGATTTAAAACTGTACAGTTTACAATTAACATTAAGTTCAAGCATAAACTGCTATTGTACAATTGATACTGACTTTAACTTTTGCCTCATAACTTCGTATTGTAACATCTTTGGTATTTGGGTTATTTTTGTGAAATTTTGACAAAAATTGATATCATAATGATTTTTGTACTAAAAAGGGATTTGTTGCCCATTGCAATATATATTTGCACTTTCAACAACAAAAAAGTATTTTGATTAGTTCTCAGACGCTTTTAAGGGATACCGAAATAAATTAGCAACTTTGTTAAAATCAAACAGAGCTCTACGGTCCCAAAACCTATATGGTTTGTTTTGCAAACCATGATCTTTTCATTCGTGACTAAGTAAATTTCAATTGAACTGTGTTCTAGTGCTAAATCTTAAGAATGCAAAACAATTATTAAAACTAATTCCTCTTTAAAAAGTTTAACTTTTCAGTCAGTAATCAGATATTGAAATAAGAGAAATTAATTTGAAATTAAAGGCACGCATCAGAGCAACTTTCAGAAACAAAACAATTAAGCTTCTTATAAAAAAATAAATATTAAAAATTCACAACTTTTTTAAAAGCGCAACTATAAATTTGAGAACTTTGAGCTATCACTATAAAGCTGTCAAATGACCTAAATCTTAGATAGTTAAAATGGAATAAATGACATGTAATAGAAAACCCCAAAGAAACTAATCGGTAATTTCACTTTTAAAAAACAAAACAGCACGACTAATACTTATTTTTAACGAATAACAATAATAATGAATAAAATTATTATTATTGAGCCTGTATAAGTATCATTGAAGCGAAATATAGAACGCTTTGTTCGTTGATATGAACTATTCAATTTCAACATCTTTATTCTTACTTACTTACAGCTCAGCTTGTTTCAGATTTTCGTTGTCTAAATTTGTAAACTTGTAAACTTTATTTGTAAACTTGGATGTTTCCGCTTTCATGCTTATCACGCGCTTTATATTTCAATTCATTGTTGTCAACACGAAAAAGAAATGAGATTTTCTTTCTCATAGCTTAAAAGAAATATCTATATAGATAATTCATTATCATTGTGTCAATTATAAAAGAGTTGTTTTACGAACCAACATAAACCTGCATGTTTGTTTATAAATTTCACTAGGACTCCTGACGTGACGTTAAAAAGTTTTGATTGTTTACAAACCATCACTAGATAATTTGCAAACACGCGTTAAACATCAACACTCCAGTTCTCGAATTACTATTGAACTTCCTCACAGACCGATTTAACAGAGAATTCATTAAGAACTTATAACAATGATGCAAAATAAAAACTATATTATAATGCCGGGATCTTACAATTACTGTTGAAATTATTGTCGTTTTCCTTTTTACAAAAGCCAACTTGACAAAAATAAATGAAAAAAAAGTTATAATAACTACATTATTTATAAGACAATTAAAAAATAAAGTATTTACATATTTTATGTAATGACAAAACAATTGATAAGTTATAAAACAATTCAAAGATCGCAAAAGCCTCAACCACTGCTCGGGTGATACATTTCGTTTTGCAGCCCAGAAACTTCGAATTGCAATGAAAAAAATAAAATAAAATTAATATTTGATAACTAGTTAAAAATTATTAACTGTTAAACTTGTGGTACGATGAGACCCACACTGCAGGCAGCGAAAATGCAACTACAGAACTCATATTTGATAAGCTGAATGATCGATCATATATAAACTTAACAGGGGTATTTACTTTCATTTTATTTTTTCATTTTTAAATAGTTTACTTTAAAAAAAATCATTTCCTTTTCAAGATCTTTATTTCAAAAGCTCCTACATGACTTCTTTCCAAAAGTATCAAAAATTTTTTTAAAAAAGGAGAAGAGAAAATATATGCTGAAAGATATAAATTGTATTGGGACGCAAGAACTCTCATGAATTGTCACTAACTTTACCTTTTTCATGTTAAGGTTTAAAATTTTATATTGTTGAAATGTTTATTGATTCACATGTTTATTGTTCTTTTTTGTTCATTTTACCTAAATTGTTGAATTGTTTTTTGTTATTTTTCTGCTCCTTTGTGATGCAGTGAGCTGTCAAATTTTCTGGATTGAATTCCTAATAAAGCCATATGAAGCACAGATGTCACATTTACATCGAAATTTTTATACTTATAAAAGACTTAAGAAAGATTTTTTTTTACAGTTAATTATTTTGAAACTCAAGTAGGAGCCCATATCACCATGATTAACATAATGAAAAAATATCCTTGCATAAAATTATACCAAATATATTTTATCAGCAAAATTATAATTCTTTTTGATATTTTTATTTATTTTATTACAATATTAAAAGTTTGTTGAAATTATATGTTTTATTGAGGGAGAAAAAATTAAGAGCAAGAAGCAACCACGGAATAAATGTTTTTTTTTTTGAAGATCAAGAAGTAGCTAACAGAAGAAAATATTCATTCAGTTAAAATATAACCATTTTTTTAAATATAAACTTTTATTGAGCATGTTCAATGATTATTTATTGAACGAATATTTTTAGCATTACTCTGTCAATTGATGCTTTATCTTAATTCTTACCTGACGTATTACCGTATCCAAATCTCACGAGTGTCACTAACAATAATATAATCCAGATAAAAGATTTTTTCCTCCACATGGTTTATTAGTACACGGTATGCAAGTTTAAATCTTTTCTCTTATTTTTCAATCATCTCTTCTTTATTAAAATTTCTGTTCACATTTTGCAACACTTCAACATTTTAAGCAAACTTTTATTGTGCGCCAATCGCGTGAAGTTGTGAATGAGAGACGAAGAAATCCTCTCGCTTGCAAAGTTAAAGCGGTGTTTGCGGTGTAGGCAGAGGGAGCGATTTGCAGAATCTCGCACTTGCGGATTGTTCCACTGAGACTGAGGGAGGATGGTCCACATCGATCCTATTTCATCGTTTCAAAATACTTCAGGTTAGTATTGAGTGACCAGTTGAATTTTTTTTTTTTTAGAACTTTTTCATCTGATTGTTTTCGTAAGATGGAGGATAGAGACAAAATAAATGCGCAGAAAAATATTAACGAAATGTGATGGGACATAAAAAGTTATGGAAAAGAAGGATACAGTTTTATCAAACTTTTTATTTAGAGTTTCCCAAAACACTAAAAATAATTTTGCACTGTACTATAGTTAAATCAGTTATTTTAGCAATTCTGGACCAATTTATCACCGAACTTTAAGACTTTAAGTTTTGAAAAAAAAACCTATTTTTAAACATTCATTTTCAAAAAATTTCTTTCAGAATTAGTTTCTATTTAATTTCAAAATTACACAATTATTTTTAAAAAAATGTAAGTTTTTATTTATGCTTGATAAAAAAATAATTTTTTAACATAGTTTTTTGCATGGAATTATATTTGGATAAATAGATGTCGTCACAGTTTGCAATAGATATTTTTTTCATTCGCATAAAAAAATTTGCTATGGAGAGAAACAAAAGAATCAAACTAAGAGACCCATTTTTCCGACTGTTATCCTGTCCAAATCATATTTTGAAGGATGTAGCTATCCTGCCTTCCCTATTTTCATCATCATATAAAAGCAGGAATACCTTCTCGGTTTCTGTTAAATTTCATTAATCAATTTAATTGGAGCTAAACAAGAACACTATAAAGAAGTAAACACTATAAAAAATAACAATAATAAAAAGGAATATCGATACTGTATTTTAGAATCATACCAGAAAATGTAAAGGTAAACATCTCAATGCATCGATTTACATAATTAAATTTTTTCTTGCAAAAATTTCTGTTCAAATGTTTGCATTAAAATTAATGTGATATAAAAATACAATGTAATACATTAAATTTTATGACAAATATATAAATATTCCAAGTTTAGTAAAATAGTAATTTCAGAAATGTTATTTTTGTTTGAAATAAATTTGATAATAAACTAAGACGAAATCTTTTGAAAATTAACTACTATTTAAAATGAAATTTTGAATTGAAATTAGGTAAGAATTAAGGAAGAAAAAAGTTTCGAAAAGCAATAAATTTTTAATGAAGCTATACCATAGTTAAAAACCAGGTTAATCTGAAAGTACTTAATATTAAGTAAAAGTCCCAATAAGATTTTCGGGACATTTTGATTGTTTATTTTCTCTGCAAATCGTGTCTTTTGTTTTTTCTTCAACCCACTGGTGGTTTAGCAAAAGAACAAAATCGGGAGAATGTTTCTTCCCTTTACATTATTTTTCTATCGAAGTAGAAGGAAAAACCGGTTATGCTTTTCGGACAAGACTGCAGATTAAAATTCAACTTTTTACGTGCAAAACCGTCAGCAGTGGGTTAAATATTTTTATGAATATACATACATACACACANTATAAAAATACAATGTAATACATTAAATTTATGACAAATATATAAATATTCCAAGTTTATTAAAATACAGTGAACTCTCACTTATGCACCCGTGTAAGGGGCCAAGAGAAAAAAGCGCGTAAGTGAAAAACTTCAAAATTCTAAAACGCAACGTAAACTGCAGTGACAATATGAATAAATATGTTTCTACAGATGTAATGTTAATATTTATACTGTTTTGGTATTTACAATAATTATACAAAGAAAAAACTTTACATACCTTAAGACAATTTATTTTCTTACAAAATAATCTTAATACATGTTTGTATTTGTTTTCGCCGACGTTATTCAAAAACAGTTTTTCCAGTTCATATAAATGGGATAAGGGGGAGTTTCAGAAGCAAAATTAAATTCTAAATAGTCAGGAATAGTGTCTAAAGCTTTCAATACAGCTGCGTGATTTGGAGGAACTTTATCATCTCGTCAGTATCATCCACCACGTTCTCATCACTCACTAGTTTTAGTTAGATATAAATGAACAGTTCTTCGCAAAAAATTTGAGTTTTATGGGAGGGGGTGAAACATCACATGATAAATTTCTAAGAAAAGTACTTGACGTCATAATATGCTGCTCAATAAGTTGTTCAAGTATTTCCCTCACTAAACAGATCACCTCCCTTTATGTACTCATAATATCCATCTGACTGCAAGTAAGCGATCGCGGTCTCTTTCCTCTTTCGTATTCCAGGTGTCTTCTTCTTCTAGAAAACAGCATGGGAGTAAAACTAACCTCTGGACAAGAAGAATGGTCTTTTTCTAAAAGATGAATAGGCTTTCATTGTTGTTGGTGTAACAGATAAGACACCCTATTCAAAATTCTGGAAATAATGTCTTTCCAGAAACAGTAAAAATGAAAAGGTCACAGGGGGAAGCAAATTCAATAGGATCTAACAACATATATTTCTTTTTATCTGTAACAAGGATTGCTCATTTGCTTCATTTTTAATTTGAAAAAAAATTTTTTTTAAGAAAAAATATTTAAAGGATTAAAAAATTAAAAGTCAGCCTAATAATAAAGTCAGCCTAAAATTTCGGCGCATAATTGAAAAATTTATTTTTAGAGCGACGTATAAACGAAGGATGTTTATCATTATTTTCCTATCTAATGTTCTGGGACCTATAAAAATCGTTGTATAAATGAAAAAGGTGCATAAAAGAGGTGATGCATAAGTGAGAGATCACTGTAGTAATTTTAGAAATGTTATTTTTGTTTAAAATAAATTTTGATAATAAACTAAGACTAAATCTTTTGAAAATTAACTACTATTTAAAATGAAATTTTGAATTGAAATTAGGTAAGAATTAAGGAAGAAAAAAGTTTCGAAAATCAATAAGATAAGTCCCAATAAGATTTTCGGGACATTTTGATTGTTTATTTCCTCTGCAAATCGTGTCTTTTGTTTTTTCTTCAACCCACTGGTGGTTTAGCGAAAGGACAAAATCGGGAGAATGTTTCTTCCCTTTATATTATTTTTCTATCGAAGTAGAGGAAAAAACCGGTTACGTTTTTCGGACAAGACTGCAGATTAAAATTCAACTTTTTACGTGCAAAACCGTCAGCAGTGGGTTAAATATTTTTATGAATATACATACACACACAAACTCATATATATATATATNATATATATATATATATATATAGAGAGAGAGAGAGAGAGAGAGAGAATCCTTGTTATATTTTCTCTTTTTCTTTCATTTTTAACGTCTTTATATATAATAGGTTAAGTTTAAGATCGATAGTTTTTCAAATTGAAAAAGTACAAAGAATAAAGAGACAAGAAACGTCTATGCATATTTTAAATTCTCATATATGTACTTAACATGTCTCGAGCAAAAAATAATGGAATATAGAGAAAAAAGAATGAAAAATCGTTTGAAATAATACTAATAAGTGGCCATTTTCCGTAATGTTGAGGGGAGAAGGCCATCTAATACAAAAGAGAAAAAGTGGAGTTAAAATATAGAAACTAATACAAAACATATAGTAAATAAGGAAAATATTTCAATACGTTGTGCAAGGAGTGAATTTTATCCTGGAAAATAATTAAAGAGAATCAAATAATGAAATCTAATGAACAGATTTAGTCAATCACTTAAGAAAATCTTTACTTCATTTATTGTTTTCAATGTTTCATGGAACTATTTCATGCATTTTACACATCACACCCAATAATTTTTTAAGTAGTGATTATTCTAGACAATTAACACATTAAACATAAAATTAGGAGTGTGTTTAAAATCAAACAATATATCGGGTTCTACTGAATAGATTATAGGGTTCTATCCGAAAACATGTTAGGTCTGTAGAATCCAAAAGAAATGTATGATTAATATGATCTTTAAAAATATAAAAAATGGTTTAAATATTGTAATAAAATGTTAAGGCTTTATTTTTATTAACCTTCACAAAATTGCAAAACAAAATCATACACAATGAAAGCGAATAACGATCCCATAGGTTTTTACAACTAGATTTATTTATTTGGAGATATTAAGAATGGTGGTGATAAATATATTAAGAATGGTGGTGATAGATAAATTTACAAAAATACGTCCTATTTTCCTACTTTTGCTATTTTTTTTAAAATTTGTAAAGTAGCATAAGAGACTTAAAATATTAATAAGTAATAAGGGAAATTTGGCATCTCTCCTAGATTTTATGTTTCCATCTTGATTTTATGTGTGGTCCTCCATGGCTTCTAAAGCAGATGACCACCGCATTTATAGCATAATTCCATTATAATGTTCCTCTGTTTTTTTCTTCTCAGGAGCAGCGATTGAACTATAAATAAGCTTTAAAAGTCCGGCTATTTGAAAAAAAAAATGTAACATACGCATTAAAAAACAACAGAATATTTAATTCAGGGAAAATACTTTACTCCTAAATAAAGTAAGAAAATTAAATTCTACTTACTTTTCGCTGTCGCGAGAAGTATAGCTTTGTTCAGATTGATAAACAAGTTATACTGCTTCAACCTCAACTGCAATGTTTTGGAATAAATTAGAACAAAATACAGCATGTGTAGTTTTTAAAGAGTTAAAAAACAAAACTTAACAAAACAAAACAAAAAAGACTGATACAGAGTTCTAACATATTTCTTGTGATCTCTCAGAAATTACGTAGTTCGAACAATATCATCTAGAAATATTATTCAATATTAAAAATAAAAATAACACGCAAGCAAATTTAATTTTAAATAAATATAATAAAGCATTTATTCCGATCAAGCTTGACCAAATCAA